AAACGTCCGTCTTCCTTTACCACATTCCATAATTATTATTATAAAGGTCCTTAATATAACCAGGAGCATAAATTCTGCCTTTCCAAACTCTCTTAATATAGGGATCTGCTACAACTCCATCATCTATACCGAAATAACAGATAATGTTCACCTGTACAATTCTATCTAGTATCTTGTTGGTATCCAGGTGATCGTCTGAAATCATTCCACGGTTGCCAAATAGATTCATGTTTTTTAAGGGTATTTCTTCGAATGGACGTCAGTTCCTCCATCAGTCTGTAATATTCTACTCTGTTATACCACTCTCTTATGGTTGGGGTGGTAGTTTGGTTCCAATATAAAGGTATTAAGGTCTTTGCGGCATTCAATAAGGAGAGTATCAATGATCGTTTGTATACCGTGATCGGGAGGTCTGTAAGGTGAAAGACATACCGTTGGGTCCAAAGGTAAGGTAACTGTGGTGATCTTCTCTATCTGGCCTACCACCTGCGCCCAGAAAGATTGTAATTGCGGGCAGGACCACCACATGTGTATGTAAGTACCTGTGTCGCCACAGTTTCTCCAGCATAGCTCTGACCTGGATGGATGCATTCTATGTATGCGTTCCAGTGAATAGTACCATCGTGCCATAAAGCGGAACACAGTGTCGGTCACTAGGATACTAATAGATGTAATAGCATTGAGGCTTAACAATTTATGTTTCTGTACGTCGGTCCAGGTAATCTCCAGATCCTGTTCCCATTGATTTAAATATGATGGGAACAGATTAAGTTGTTGTTTTAATAAAATCATATATAATTGTGATATCCCGTGTCATGGGGGTTCCAAAGAGGAGAATAATTTTTCCAGAGGTGTGAGCTCAGAGATGGTACGAAGTGGTTTTGGAAGTGAAAAGATAAAATGTGATAATTGCCTGTGTCTCCACGCGTCAAATGGGTGAGTTCCCTATTCTTCTCTGAGAAGTTCTAGTGGAAGTGGTTTATCTCTTTCACATACCTGAAAGAGCTTTAAACTAGAGTGAACAGTCCATTTAAGAAAACCAGTATTGTGTAATCCAGGTGGAAAAAACACGTGACCAGTTACTGGCATTATAGGTGAATTGTGTTGGCCTATCCGATTGTATAGTGCATTCCATATAGACAAAGTTTGGCGAGTGAGCGGGGAAGTTAAGGAGTGTAGGTTCCAATATTCCTGTGGTATCCAACAAATAGTGGGTATAGTTTGATCAGCAAGAGAAATCTCCAACTCCACCCATCGTTTAGTCTTATTGTGAAAGTGAAAATCCAACATTCTATTGAGCGCAACAGCCTGGTAGTAACAATTAAAATCTGGCAATGCTAATCCTCCCTGATATCGAGTCCTAGGAAGAACTCCATGGGAGATCCTGGCGGGGGACCTTCTCCAAATGTACCGACCGACAACGGACTTAAGAGCACGTAAGAAAAACTTGGGCAGTGCAATAGGTATAGTTTGTAATATAAAATAAAAATTGTAAAATCCGCGCTTATGGGTGAGTACAGTTTAAAAGCTGCTGCGCTATGGACCCAGGGGTTCAACTAATAAAGTGCTAAATGTGCAGCGCTAAAAATATTACTAAAATATTACTAAAATATTACTAAGTGATCCAGTGTAATCAATATCTAAAATAATAAGAATATTGAGAATAATAATGATTGAGAATAATAAAGTGCAAATCATCAAATGAACATATAAACCCAATATGTGGTAGGCTCTTAACACTAGTAGTGCTCAACAAGATTTTAAATCACTTAAAATTTCATTGGAGAAAAAAAATTGCACTTTTTTTGAAGTTTGTAATATATATAGTATCCGAGGGAGTATTGTCATCTTAATTACGTTTATCTGTCCTGTGAGTGAAATACCTGGGCGATGGTTAAGCCATTTATTAAGATCCCTGCTAATGCTATTTAACAAGGTCATGTAATTCACAGTGAATAATTCCGTGGTTCTGGGCGTGAGGAATGTACACGGCAGTAGCCATATGGGATGGAGTGGAGATATTTAAAATTTCAGATTTCGAGAGATTAATTTTAAAATTCGTAATGGCGGGAGCGAGATCTGCGGTTGTTGAATGAAAAACAAAATATCGTCCGCGTAGGCAGCTAGTTTATGTTCTGTAGTGCCTACTGTGATACCCGAGATGTTATTGTTACATCTTATGGTAATAAGGAAAGGCTGTAATGATAGGGCAAACAATAACGGAGATAATGGACATCCTTGACGTGTACCATTATATAAGGTAAATTTAGTTGAGAGGAAACCGTTTATCTTAATCTGGGCCATGGGTTATTGTATAGGGCTATTATCCCAGTCAAAAATCTAGGCCCCAGTCCCATGGCTTGAAGGGTGGTCCGGAGATAGTCCCAGTCGACTCTGTTGAATGCTTTTTCAGCATCCGTAGACAGAAACAGAGTGTGGTTCGATGTTAAAGAAGCCTGATGAATTAGGCTAATTGCTCTGTGGGTATACTATCCCTAGCCTCCCTGCCAGGGATAAAGCCTGTCTGATCTGGTGATATTAATTGGGGCATCAAGCGATTAAGTCTGGTTGCTAGAACTTTGGCGAAAATTTTTATATCTATATTTAGTAACGATATCGGCCTATAACTGCTGCATGTAGTTACATACTTACCCACTTTAGGGAACACGGATATATGTGCATGTAGAGTATCTGGTATTGGTGGCGTTCCAGTAAGAAGGGAATTAAAATACTTGCATAAATGTGGGAGTAGGTGATGTTGAAATGCTTTATAATATTGTAGTGTATATCCGTCAGGGCCTGGACTTTTCCCTTTGGCAATGGTGGCTATCACTTGTTGAATTTCCTCTATGCTTATAGTAGATTCCAAATTTTCACCCTGAGCTTTGTCTATAGATGGTAAAGGTATTGAGGCTAAATAAGTCCGAATGCAGGTTAAATGTTGTTCTTTATGTTACTGCATTGCCATCAGATCTCAACTTGTACAAGGATGAATAGAAGTCTCTAAATACATTAGATATCAAGGGTGATGTATGAACCATTACATCCTGTTTCGTTTTTATCTTAGCTACAAAGTTCCTGCCTTGTCTGTCTTTCAAGAGCCTAGCGAGGGGTTTCCCTGGTTTATTACCTAATTCGTAAGAGCTTTGAGATAATTCGTTTAAAGATTTTTTATATTTAAAGGATTACTCCTCTTTCAAGTCCTCCCTATCGTTTGTTAATTCTTTCAAAGCTGAAGCTGTCAGACCTTCTCAGACCTTTCACTTTATGGGCATGCTCCTTTTTTTTACGAGAGCCCTGAGAGATAAATGACCCTCTAATTGTGGCCTTGTGAGCTTCCCAAAAAATGCCCGGTGGCTCTTCTCCCTCAGCGTTTTCAGTAAAATAATGAGAGAGATCTTTTGAAATGGCCGTCACTATGTTATCATCCCACAGAAGAGATTCATTCAGCCTCCATGTGGACGGTATGTGCCTGTCCCCTGTAAGCCTCAAGGACACCATCACCGGAGCATGATCCGAGATAGTGGCAGTTAGGATGGTTACGTCCTGTATGATTCCAAGGTGGTAGTGGTCCACCAAGATGTAATCTAACCGTGTGTATGTATTATGGACTGCTGAATAGGCAGTATAATCCCTAACTCGGGGATGATATATTCTCCATATGTCTATCAGTTGTAATGCATGTAACATGGCTTTAAATGATTTGAGTCTCTTAAAAGCTATGTGCGAGCATCCTGAGGATGAATCCAGGGAAGGATCTATATGGATGTTAAAATCTCCTGCATAGATTGTTATGCCTTCCTGGTAATCTCGTAGGAGGTGAAGTGTCTTAAGAAAAAGGTATCTCCCGCCAGGATCTGCCAATGTAGACACATGTCTAAACCATACGTTCCTGTGGATGCTGATCGCTACCCCTCTTGAGTTACTCGAGTCAGAGGTACTATAGAATCAAGTCGGGTAGTATTCCATTCTATTAATATTTTGGCCGATGGTCTGCGATCGGAATTCATGTGAATATTAATGTGGTACAGCTAAAAAAAATCTAAAAATGAATACATAATAAATGAAAAACAAAGAGATTCTAAAAGCTAATAAAACAAAGTTATAACCTCCTCCTGTATGTATTTCTTTTTTCACATCAAAGCACATACATCTCTGTTTAAATCTATATTCTAGTAGAGCTTCAAATAACTACACACTTCATTGTGTGATATGCAGTTTCAAAATGCTACTCGCATGCTTTATTTTTTGCTCACTAGAAATTGTGCTGGAATGATAGGTAAAGAGAGCATACCTCTTTCCATTTTGGGAGCTAATTAAAACAAGCCTTCAGAAATTAAGCTATTTCAAGGGTCTGGTATAAAGTAAGAGGTTTTGTAGAGCATATATTTCTGCTGGAAGAACTTATTTCACCCACTCTGAGAAAACTGATCATAACATAAGTATTTCAGTTATATCTCTTAAGCTGGTGATGGAATTAAGTAGGTGTTATTTTTTTAAATCTAGTTTTTAATGATTTTACTCGAAAGAGGGCCTAAATAAATCCACTTGAGATCTGTCACTCTTCCACAGGGTAGTGAATGCATTATAGGAGTATAATGCTTCAATGTTTATACCTGAAAAAAACAATATAAAGAAATGTTGACAAAATGATTCTACAAATTTTGAAATGTAAATGTATACACAATCTTCAAAGTAAAACAGCTTTTTACAACTCTTTGCAATACAAGGATTTTGAGGCCACTCACAGGATCCTGTTTGCCAGCTCAGTGCCAACACACCAATCAACCATGTCTCACCAGTTCCCAGCACTCACCTCCGAACAGAAGAAGGAGCTCACAGAGATCGCTCAGCGCATTGTTAAAGATGGCAAGGGAATACTGGTGGCAGATGAATCTGTGGGGACCATGGGCAGTCGCCTGAAGCGCATCAATGTGGAGAACATTGAAGAGAACCGCCGCTTCTTCAGGAACCTTCTCTTTACAGCTGACTCCAAGCTGAATGAAAGCATCGGAGGAGTCATCCTTTTCCATGAGACCCTGCACCAGAAGTCCAATAATGGAGTCCTTTTCCCCAAACTCTTGAAGGATCAGGGCATTGTTGTAGGAATCAAGGTAGACAAAGGCACCGTTCCTCTGGAAGGAACTGATGGAGAGACTACCACACAAGGTCTTGATGGACTGTCCGAACGTTGCGCTCAGTACAAAAAGGATGGTGCTGACTTTGCCAAGTGGCGCTGTGTGCTGAAGATCGCAGACCACGCACCCTCAAGCCTTGCAATCTACGAAAATGCCAACGTATTGGCGCGGTATGCCAGCATTTGCCAGCAGAACGGTCTTGTGCCAATCGTGGAACCCAAAATCCTGTCTGATGGATCTCATGACCTCCAAAGATGCCAGTATGAAACAGAAAAGGTCCTGTCTGCAGTGTACCATGCCCTCATCCAGCATCATGTATATCTTAAAGGCACCCTCTTAAAGCCAAACATGGTGACAGGAGGACAGTCAAGCCCTCAAAAATTTACACCTGAGCAGGTCGCCATGTCAACTGTTACTGCCCTGAGACGTACAGTCCCTTCCGCAGTTCCCGGTATCTGTTTCCTGTCTGGAGGTCAGAGTGAAGAAGAGGCATCGCTTAACCTGAATGCCATGAACAGCTGCAGTCTCCCTCGCCCCTGGCAACTGTCCTTCTCTTATGGTCGTGCCCTGCAGGGCTCAGCACTATCTGCCTGGGTCGGGAAAGCAGAAAATGAGAAAGCAGCACAGGAGGCTTTTGCTAAGAGGGCAAAGATCAACGGTTTGGCATCTCTCGGGAAGTATGTACCTTCTGGGTCTTCAGACGCCGCCTCCTCCAAATCCCTCTTCCAGCCCAGTTACACCTACTAAATGTTGCCCTCGATTGCCCTCTTGTGTTACATCTTTACATTCCTCCTGGAGTTACATGACTGGCATTACTGCCGCATCTCCCACACACTGAGCCAATCATATTAGTTGCTACCATGGCAACAATGGACAGGGCAATACATGCCATGTGCAGCAACCCATACCAATCAATCAGATTACATCTTTTACTGGTGTGAGAGCAACAGTCAGAAAACAGTTTGCTAAGGGTTGCTGCACATTGCATGGCCCTAATAAATAAACCTTCATATCACATTTATTTGCAGTAAAAACATGCTTGGTAGAGGCAACTGGAATTTTTATTGTTAGTTGTAGGCAAGAGCTTTATTTTCCCACATTTTAGTTGTATAGCTGGATCAACTATTAAAAGTTGAAACCAAAACACAAATACATTTAGAGGTGCATTCATTAAAAATGTACCATTTGGAGGCGCATGCGCGAGCTTGACCAAGATGGCCGCACGCTAATCAGCTCCGCGCCGGAACGGGAGAAAATCTGACTTTTACGGTAGATCACCGGACTCGTTTTCGCACCCGATACAGATCCCTAGACTCGGGCTCTCATCGCCGATCGGTAGATACCGAGATGTCGCAGACTAGAAGTCGGGGTGGTAAGACGAATCAACCGACCCTCCACGAGGCCTTAGGCCGCGCGGCTCATAAACTGGCTGCAGCGCCGCCACTCTCTTATCAAGAGGACTCTAATTCCTCGCTGGAACCCCAATATCCACAGGGAGACAGCCTTCAGATGGCTCAGTCCGACCCTGAGATGACACCATCCCTGATGGCCCAATTTGAGGTAACCCTCCACAAAGCCTTGGACAAGGTTTCTAAGCAGATCACCTCACAGCTCATTAGGGAAATCAGGGATGTGGGCAAACGAACTTCCACATTGGAATCCCGCTGCAACGACATCACTACCATCATTGAGGGTCATGAGGAAGACTTGGAAAAACTTCGCTCACTGAATCTAACCCTTCTCACGCAATTGGAAGACACTGAGAACCGGGACCGCAGATCTAATCTGCGCATCAGAGGGGTCCCAGAGGCGGTGACAGATCTCCAATCCACTATAACTGCACTATTTCAGGAACTAGCGCCCGATATTCCTATAGACAGGATGGAATTTGACAGGATTCACAGGGCCTTAACGAGACGCACGCCTGACGGTCCACCGAGGGACATTATCGTGCGTCTCCACTTCTACCGCACCAAAGAACACCTGCTTCGAGCGGCTAGGGAAGCTGGGGCCCTGAATTTCCAAGGTTACTCATACCAAGTCTATACAGACCTTTCACCAGCCACTATTGCACGTCGACGGGACTTTAAACCTCTGTTGCAAGTCCTGCAGGCCAAGAAAATTCGATACCGCTGGGGCTTTCCCTTTAAGCTACAATTCTTCTACGACGGCAAACCATACACTTTTCTCACAGTGGAGGAGATGAGGGAATGCCTGGACTCTCTGCATCTGTTGGGTCGCACGGATGTAGCCCCTGACGAGGATGAAGAGCCCAGGATGCCTCGACTGTCCCCGGGCAGGGACCGCCCGCCGTGCCCCAACCTGGCTTCTTCGGCCTCTCCAAAAGCACCAAGGATGACACGGAATCTCCCCTCTGCCACAGGATCCTTTGGATGACGCCGCACCACCATTTTTGTCTTTGTTTTTCCTTCTTTTCCCACCTCATTTAGGTGGAATGCGGTTCACCCAGGAACTGCGGTTCAGCTGAGTTTTCACGAAGGGACACTTGCCACAGTTGGCGGTTTATGAATCGGACAGCACCTACACTTACCCTGAAGATTTGAGAACTGTTCGGATTCTCGTTACTGTTTATTTTCTTTTTAGTTCCAAATTGCATTATTTAACAGGTTAAAGGGTATACACTTACCGCGAGTAGTTTAGCCTTACTGTTTCTAGTGTCAACCAGGACACTCATATGTACCTAATGCAACCTTTAGGGACATCCACAATGTTCACATTATGATAATATTCTCCGGTTTATTTAGATTGTTCAATTCTTAGTTAGGAGGTCAGCCTCCCGTTCTGGTGTTCCCCATGCGCTCCACACTTCACTACCTCGACCCAGGACGTTGACCTGGTTTCGGTGGGGTGAACGAATTTCTACTTTCAGGTTCAGAGCCTTCTCCCCTATACTACTACTGCAATATATTGATATTCCCCTTACCCCCTCCATCCTCACCACCCCCCCTGCCTTCCCATTTGTTTGTGTCTTCGTCTTCCCGCTCGCCCTTCCCCATCTTTGCTTTTCCCTTTTGCCCTCTCCGGCCCATGTACTACAATAAGCATGTCACTTAAGATAGTGTCTCTCAACGTTCAGGGACTTAACCATCCCAACAAGAGGGTCAAAGCCTTTAGACACTTTGCAAAAATTAGAGCAGATGTAATTTGTCTCCAAGAGACCCACTTCAGTCAGTCGTTCAACCTGTCTTACCTGCATTCTAATTATCCCCTGTTTTTTTCAGCTTCCGCATCCACGAAACACACTGCTTTCGCACATTGGCGTGTCAAGTCCTTGAGTTTACTTAAAGATTTCTGTTCTGACACTGCCATCACCCCATTTCCGGTGCTTCAAGCCAAACATCAATTGACCCCACGAGACATCTTTCAATATTTGCAAATCAAAACACTATATACTAACTCTTTTGGATAAAAATGTACCATTTGTCCAGTGGGGCTGTATGTGCATTTGTTTTGTGTGAATACAGACAAAAAGGAATGTTATTAGTATATATTTTATTTTTTTTGCAGGTCAAATGTAGTATCGGGAGGATACCCCATTATGGCCACTACATGGATTTGAGGAGCATGAGAAAGAAGTATTTATTTCCATATGCCATGCAGCTCAATCTAGTGGCCATGGTGTCATATTTCCCTGGTGTTGCATTGGACCTGTAGAGAAAATAAACAAAATTCATTTTTGTCCCTATTCACACAGGGAGGTGCGCGTGCAGTTTCACAGGACAGATGGTTCTGCACAGTTTTTAATAAATACACCCTTTGTGTGATAATACCTCACCCCACCCAGAAGTAAGATACATTTTAGGTGTAGTATGAGCCTGGAAGTTGTTGAATTACACATATCTCTACCTCACTATTTTTCAGATCCAACATGGAAGAAATGGGGTTTTCTGATCTCTCTTTATCTGTTGATCAGATACTTTGGTTTAGGTTGGGAACTCTTCTCATCAGGCTTTTGGTTCTGGCTATTTTCAGAGCTACCACTTTCCACAGAAGCAACTGGCCTGCCTCATTGCTAGGAGTCTGTGATTAACATATCTATTCTTTATACTTGTGTGCTACATCAGTTATTCTTCCAAACTCCCTTATCCAACCTAACTACTTATTCCTGCTAAAGGCCTTAGGCTACCACTTTGCTTCTTGGCTCCTCTGCCTCTCAGCTAACTCTAATTCCCTGTCGGTTATCTGCAGCTCAGCCTCTCTTCTCCTCCCCTGCCTGCTAGCTACAATTCAGCCCTTCTTGTCCTCCATCCTGCCATGAGAGCTAAGCACCCCTTCCATTCCTACCAACTAAATCAGCCTCTCATCCTCCTGCCTGTGAGTTGCTTTAGATTTTTAGCAATGAGGAAGATTAGATATAGTAGAGATATATAGAGACTGTGTAGACCAAAAGGTAAGACCTGCACCAAACTGAATGATGAACACAATATTTCACGAGTATGTAAAAAAAAAGGAAAGCAGAGGATGACACCTTTTCTACAAAAGTCCCAGAACATCCCTATGGAGTTAAATATTAATTACACTGATGACATTACTCTGCATATGTCTCCTAAATTCCATTTTAGTTCTGGGTGGTGGAATTTCCCTTTAATTTGTGAACTAGGATGAGAGTCCTTTGAAGTGTCCATATACCTTTGATCACAGGCATGAGGAAAAACATACAGGCATTATTGTCAGGGCTCAGAAACTCAATTGAAATTATAGTGGCACATAATATTTCTGTCCTAATTTAGAGGGGTTTTTTTTGTTTTGTTTTTTAATGAATTTACATTTCCTTTTGCAGCCTCTCTTTCTATGGTTTAAAGTTGCTCATCATTAGTACCATAATCTTGAGATCAATTATGCTGTGGCATCTGAAGCAGAAATTGGTCACTAGAGGAACATCTGTTTTGTTGTTATATGTGAATCTATCAACATTAATTTGTTGGCAGAGTGTTTGACCCATCTCCCCAACATAGAGTACTTGCACACAGTATCAGGTATTCCACATTTTAGGATCTGCATAAAAAAGAACCCTGTATTCTGTTCTTCTGTTATTCCTGTATTGGAATTCTATTGATGCTGTGGATATTTGTGCAGGCTCATCTCTTCTGCATACAGAAGATGTTCCATTTAGTATTGGGCTATTTAGAGAACTGATTCAAAAAAGGCTGAATGTGTTTCTAAATGCTCAAAATATAACTGACTATTGATATAGAAATATGACTGTAGAATATTGACCCAAGCAGAATAGATTTGCCATTCAAGGTTAGGCAGGAATTTGTCCCTGTTAGAGCAAATTGGACCATGCTTTATCAAAGTTTTTAAGCCTTAAGGAGCCCATACACTGTGCAATTTTCATTCGGAAATCATACACGAACAATCTTTCAAAAGAAAATCGGCAGTTGATGGTGCATCACCAATTTTCCTTTTTGATATTGTGATCTAAAATTTTCATTTGGTCAGGTTGGAAAAAAAATTCTGACCAAATGAAAACCGATGAATCAGTGAGGTTTTTGTTCATCAAAAATCTCTGCAAGAACACAGCACATGTGTAAAATGAAATGTTTTCCGTCATTCATCTAAAATTAGTTGGTTAGTATAGCTAACAAACAATTTCCGAAATCGACATTTGACTATGCTTGATGGGGAAGTCTAGGTATATATGCGAACAAGTGTTTGTGCCAGAAAGGAACAATTTTGAATGAAAATCGTACAATGTATGGCCACCTTCATTCTGGTTCAGGTATCTGTTTATGATTCAGAGGATGTAGAATTTTTAACTTAATCCTTTGGTTAACCTCAATGGTCATATGCTTTTTACCTAATTTTTTATAATATTAAATATAAACTAGTTGTGGCTGAAGTTCCAAAGATATTTAGCAAGCTCATTTCTCCACCTCTTAATAAATTACTCCTTCCCTCATAATTGTGTTTGTTGCCTGTTTCTTTTCATCCCAACCATGGCCATGTTGGTTTTCTGTGGAAGCAAATTAAATGATAATGTATAAGAAAATTGATAAAGGACTGAAAATTAAATTGAAAGTAAAGTATAGATCCTTCCACATTCCAAAAAACAAGCTTGGGTCAGAATTGCAATGATGACTACAACAAAATACAGCATGAGCATATCACAGAATTCTCTGTTGACTTATATCTATTCCAATTGAAGGAACTTACTTTTATTTTGGCACCAGGTATCATCAAAGGAAATTAGAATAATAGTAGAAAGCACTGCAACACACCTGAAACTCTCTCAAATGTATTCTTCCTCTCCTTACAATTTTCTATAGCTTATTGTGTGTGACATACCTAAAGTGTTATTAAACCTCACAACTAAAAATCATATAGTGCTGCAGAACTCAGCACTTACCATTACTGCCTGTATGTCTTTCTCTCCAAGGGTGTGGTTGTTTTGCTTTCCCTCTGTGAAAATGCCCCTTCTCACCCTGTTTTCAGGTGAATACATCCCCTTACAGGGTCCTGTGGAGCCATTTTTGCGTGCATGCTCCAACTGGCTTTAAGTACGTCTCTCCCTAACCTGCTTGTGTGCACAGAAAACAAAGCCCTGAAGCCTATGGCAGAAAGTCACCCCCTGCTCCTTCCTCTTCTCACCTTCAGGCAAGTGATTGACAGCAGCTGAAGCCTGTGCTGTTCCTATTACAATGTGCATGTGATCGACTCGAACATCGGTAGTTCATGTGTTCCCTGAACACACAAACTATCAGGGCTGGAGCTTGTTTAGCCACCATGCCTTCAAAAAGATGGTGGTGATTATGTGAGATCTGTCTGCTCCAACCCCTCCTCTTTCTCCTCCGCAATGGCCTATTCTGCTGAGTTCTCCTGTGAACCAGCAGTTCCCCCTAAGCGTTCAAAGGGCTACGCAATGGGTCAGGCTAAAAGATGTCATGCAGTGCTTGAGCTGGTTTGTCTAGGGGACAGGAGCCACAACAGGACAGATATTCTTTCAACTCAGCAGGGGCAGTACCAGAGGTGGTTAATGCAGTGGTAGTTTGAGCCAGGAATGGTTGTAAGTGACAATGCCAGCTCTCCTCTCCTCCCTCCAACTGGGAAAGTTGACACATGTACCATGCTTTGTACACATCCTCAATTTGGTGGTACAGTGTTTCTTAAACAGGTACCCAGGGCTGCAAGATCTTCTGAGGCAGACCAGAAAAGTCTGTAGCTATTTTAGCTGGTCATAACCAGCCAGTGTTCATCTGGCTGTGTAATGTAATTACCTCGTCAGGTTCTCCGGCATTCTGGGATCAGAGGGTAGCTCCGCCCACCTTCCCATGATGTCACACGGCTTCTCCCCAGTAGATGTCTTAAGTTGCAGATTGTCAATTGCTCGGCATCCAAGCTATACAGCAGATGCCAGGCAATTGCTGCAAGCCTTTGCCCCTCCACAAGCTGACAAACAAACTGGGACAGGTGGTCCCTCCTACCTTTCCACAGAAGCTGCCTCTGTGCTTCAGGTTCCTGTCTTCCATTGCTGGCTTGATCTAATTCACACCTGACTGCAGTGAATTCAGCTGGACTCTTTGCTCTTAATAGCTACTACAGAGAAAGTGCCTTGGATCAGCTTGAATCCACATTGAATCCAAATTCCGAATTCCAAATTCTGTATTCCGAATTCCAAATTCCGTATTCTAATTCCAAATTCCGTATTCCAAATTCTGTATTTCAATTTCCAAATTCCGTGTTCTAAATTCCAAGTTCCGAATTCCGTGTTCTAAATTCCAAGTTCCGAATTCCGTAATCCGTATTCCAAATTTTGTGTTCTGAATTCCAAATTCCATATACCGAATTCCATATTCTGAATTCTAAATTTCGTGTTCTGAATTCCAAATTCCGTATATAGTATTCCAAGTTCCGTATTCCAAATTCCGCATTCTAAATTCCAAATTTCTGTATTTCGAATTCCATATTCCAAGTTCCAAATTCTGTGCTCCAAATTATGTATTCTGAATTCCGTATACAGAATTCCATATTCTGAATTCCAAATTCTCCCATATTACAAATTCTGTGTTCTAAATTCTGTATTCTAAATTCCGAAATCTGAATTCCAAATTTTGTATTCCGATTTCCAAACTTCCCTATTGTGAATTCCAAAATCCATATTACTAATTTTGAATTCCAAATCTCGTGCTCCAAATTCCTTATTCCAAATTCCATATACCTAATTCTGAATTCCGAAATTCCAAATTCTGTATTCCATATTCTGAATTCCAAGTTCCAAATTCTGTGTTCTGAATTCCGTATTACAAATTCTGTATTCTAAATTCCAAATTCTGTATTCCAAATTCCAAATTCCAAAATTCCGTATTTTGAATTCATTTTTCTACATTCCGTAGATTGAATTCCGCATTCTGAATTCTAAATTCCGTATTCCAAATTCTGAATTCCAAATCTCGTGCTCCGAATTCCATTCCTTTATTCCAAATTCTGTATTCCAAATTCTAAATTCCAAATATCGTGCTCTGAATTCCATATACCTAATTCCCTATTTTGAATTCCAAATTTGAGTTCCTTTTTCCAAATTCTGTATACCTAATTCCAGATTCCGTGTTCTGAAATTCCAGATTCCATATTCTAAATTCCGTATTCCGAGTTCCAAATTCCATATAATAAATTCCAAATTCTAAATTCCGAATTCCATATTCTAAATGTCAAATGTCGTATTTCAAATTCTGTGTTCCGTATTCCAAATTTCATATACCGGATTCTGTTTTCCAAATTCTGTATTCTGAAATCCAAATTTTGTATTCCGAATTTTGATTTCTGTATCCAAAGATTTTTATTCTAAATTCCAAATTCGGTATTCAATATTCTGTATTCCAAACTCCATATTCCGAATTCGATATTCTGAATTCCAATGTTCAAAATCCCGTATTAAGAATTCCAAATTTCGAAATTCCACATTACGTATTCCATATTACAAATTCCATTATTACTGGTGTATACGGAATGCACTAACCAATTTTGTTATTTAAGATTTCCTTGAAACTTTTTCCTATTGGTCCTCAGTGTTCATATTCAGCAAGATTTCCTCCCGATTTATGTCACATAGTAGGGTTCTTAGCTTATTAAAATTAGCCTTCCTAAAATTGAGTGTTCTTGTCATACCGACTTGTCTATGTTCCCTGGAGTTTACTGTTAACGTCAACAGTCTATGATCACTGTTCCCTAATTGATCCCCGATTTCCACATCTGTAATCAGCCCTTTGTTATTTGTAATTCCGCATTCCGAATTCTGGATTTTCAATTCTGTATTCCGTATTCTGACTTTCATATTCCAAATTTCGTATTCCAAATTCTGTATTCTCATGCAGAATTCTATAAACATACCTAAACAAAATGAAAGTCATTTAAAGTTCATCTAAACTCTCAAATCTTTTTTTAATATTGAATCCAGATCAAACAAATATACATTGCCCAGCAATGTATTTCTTAAAATTTTTGTCCAAGCTCTTAGTCATCATATTTCTCAACAGCTGGCCC